TGGATAATATATTTAGCCAGAATTTAAATATTTTAAAAGAGATTTCATTCTGTGATGACAAGCTAACATTAATTCATTTTGTTTAAGTAGATTTTGGTCATTAATATTTTTGAGGATGACTGTTTTTTTCTCCAGCAAACACAGGTTGCATCAGTCGCCGCGGCCGGAAAAGGGTGTAGCTTTGGTGACGAAATTCCAATTTATTACCGGTGTATAGTCATCTGTTTTAATATTGTTGGTGAACATCGGCTGTGATCTAACCTGGTTTAGGGATGGATTTCGCAAGGTTAAAATATCTAAAACACGTTACATGATAAGCATACCAATAAATAATTCGCGGAGACCCAGGTTCTGGCACACAATTGCGATAGATGGAGAAAAATGGTGGACAGCTCAGCACGTTGACGCCCCAAAGACTCCTTCCAAGGGCGAAAGAAGAAGAATAGCTACTATTCCCAAATTGGCTTGTACAATTTCTCAGAGTATTCCAATTTGTCTATCAACACTGTAACGTTGCCTTTTTAATCTGGAAGTATGATGATAATAGTGTCACTCTGCAAAGTTTTGGTAACCAAAATGTCTTCTCTTTTGATGTTAGATTTGGCCGAATTTCTAGTTCTTGTCTCGCTTCTCATCTTATCTGCTTAGGTTTTAAGGATCTTCAAAGCAACCTGCTCAACTGGAGTTATAACTAAATATGAGACACGCTTGATGGTTCAAGCGAAGCTGAGACCCCTGTTTAGTACTCAACTGCTGATTACTGATATTGACAGCAGTTTTCACCGAATCGGTGGGTTTTGTTGCTTCTCCTACTCTGTTCTTTCATTTGTTCTAGTTTCCGTCATTGATGGACCTTGATTCTTTGAAATTTGAGATATTCCCGGACATGGAGAGCAGAATGAGAACAGTCTATCCTCGTATATTAAATGAAGTGTTCAGTTCGAAATTCACGAAAGGTTACCCAGATCGACAAGCACCTGATGAAGGCCAGATGGCATAATGGTTGAAATGTTGATAATAAAGATGAGGACAATAGTCCGAATGTAAATAATGCAAACAAAAATGAAGATCAGTTCTTTATTCTTTGGGTTTTATAAACACGAAAATATAAGGGAAGGCTTCCTTACCCCTTACTAAAGAGTTCCAATTAAGTAATAACCTGAAACTAATTGATTTAAACTCCACCCACAAAAAGCCGTTATCTTTAGTTGGCGGCTATAAGATATAATCGTGCAATATTTAGATTTAAGTTACTTGATAAACAGTAAGTATCGTTAGCTAGTCAATAAAAGTGTCCCATGGGACAATTGCAGTCAAATTAACAAGTTATTTTATACTTTAGATGCTAATCAAGGCAAATGTGTCATCGTTTTCCCCGAGTGACACGCAAAGAGTTTCAGGAAGTATGCAACGTTCCACTCAAACAGAAACAAATGACGACATTAATATATTTGTTAACATCTACGATTTTACAGTAGGTGAAAAGTGAAAACCTTTACACATCAGCAAAATACTTTGCTGATTCTGTTATAACAAGTTTATTTACTCTTCGTACATCTAGGAATGGTTTTTACCTATTTTCCAGTAAAGGGCGTTAGGCTTTCAATTCTCTTGAAAGAAAACTTTCTCCATAACAGAATATCAGATATCACAACGCCATTTTTATTATAATCGTTTTATCTGAATGAAAATAAATAAATCAGAATAAAAACGATGCCATTCTCCGATTTGATTTAAAATTAAATATCGAACACAAATTTTTTCTTGCTTCTCCAAATACCAACTATATACGAATTGTTGGAATTAAAACGAGCCAAGTGTAAAGAATGGTATATTCCGGTAAACAGAATACCTGTTCCAAAAAAGCATATATAATATGGACATATTAAAATGATTGATTACATCTAATATAGACATATACTTTAATGGCCAGAATAAATATTAACACTATTCATCATTAAAAATGAAATAAAGAGAATTTGGGTGTGGTAACAGATACTAAAATAATGGGATTTTAGCTTATTAGATACAAAATTATAAGAATGATAAAAATTTGATTCAAAACAGCAAGAAATATTTACTCTAATAAAATCAATAATAATGGAGAACCAAAAATAGAATAAAAAGTATTTCCTATTCCAATTATTATCACCTAATTTTATAACTTTTAAGACTAATACTGATTTAATAAAAGATTGCTTTGGGAGATTGTTCAAGAGAAAAAAAACATAGTTTAAGCCAAAAATAACTTCTTGTTTAAATGTGTGCTCATAGGAAAAATCTAAAATTGAATAAGGCTATCATTCCATACTTTGCATTATTCTATACAATAAAAGAATTTTTCATTTCATGTTTGATCTTAGAATCTCAAGATGGATTACACACACACACATATATATATATATATATATATATATAGCCTCTTAAAACTAAGCACGCAGGAACAGAATCAATTTTTCTGACAAATCCGTCGAAGATGAACGGCCGTTTACAGGGACCAAAATTCGCAAAATCCATCTTCCTACATTTTCTTAATCTGACCAAAACTGCTCTTTTTTCCAGGCTTCCCAAGAATTGTTTTTTTTTTTTTTTTTTTTTATTTAGGCTATTCTTTAAACACCACAATTAATGATTATCCAAAAATGCGATTCTCAGTGAAGACGACAAACCACTGAAACTTTCCCAGGCAATTTGAAGAAATTTTGCCTTGTACCCACAAAATATACAACCGAACATTATCCTTATGGAATATTACAGACTTTCTTTTAATTCTATACTAATTTAAAAACATTTTGAAAAGTTTTTCTTTTCCAATCTTAGTTTTTCATCTTTAATAATAATGATAAAAACATGTCAAAAATATTGTTTATTTTTTTTCACTCTTAATTACAGATCCAAAAGTAAAAATACGGTCATTTAAAACAAAAAGCACTCTCATATGACAGCTGTACAATAATTAAAATATTTAATTACATATATATGTTTAATTATAATTAAATAATCTTTTTGAGAGATGTCAATTTAAACTAAACGCTGCTAATGTTATCTAAAAAGAAAACCCGGAAATAACTTCCTGGGTTACTCAATATAATATTTCTTTTTCAAATTAAAACTATGAATGACTATGTTTTAGAGTCAAATTACAAAAACATCCGATGAGTTTAAATAAAATGCCAATTTTTGATGACAATCAATTTTAGAACATACCGAACAAAGGGAAATAAATAAAAATTAAATTACTAAGTCGGCCATTTCATCTACAAATATTTAAAAAAAATGAAATTTTCTCATCCCTTGCTTATGTTTTTAATGAATGAAACTTGATTAATATCTAGGATCACTGCTAACATTCACTTTCTTTCCAGTCGTGAAAAAGCTGATTCTGTCAAAACTTAAAGTAGAATTTCTTTGTAATAAGAACAAATAGTGTTTTTTCAGAAACAATTTTTTTTGAAAGCTTAAAAAGTGAACTTACTTTTCAAAATAAGCTTTCGACGTGTAAGTAAGAAGTGGTTTCGACTGCTGAATTAAAATATCTTCTCGTCCCGTCTTGGAGTTAACTGCATCCTCGTAATTATTGCAATAAGATACCAGATTCTGCAAATGAAAAAGAAAGAAAAACGTTTACATTTATGGCTTTCTTATTGAGCAAGATCATTGTTTCGCGTAAAAAAAAAAAAAAAAAAAAAAAAACAATTTTGTATGCTGACTTTCAAAACAGAGTGTCCTTCCAATTTTCTTACAATTTGGGCTTGTACTGTAAAACTAAATAGACAGCAATAGGTTGATTTCACTCATGCCTGAAATGAATTGATTTACCCACCTGAAACTACTTTTCGTATCAACAATCTATAATAGATTACAGTCAAAAATGTATTTTATGGGTAGCGTAACGGTTATCGGCGCTGAAAGTAAATCGATGAGCTGAGTTCAAATTTCAGTGTAGCCTGTTGTATTAAATTTAGTACTAATGTCATTGAGAAAGGCATGAATCCATCTATTTCCACCTTTATCTCTGGACTAAATAGCAGGATAAATGAACTCTTGGGTAACAGTCAGTCCAGGGGGGACGGATAAGTCTTGATTCAGAACCTCGGAGAAGGCAACGGAAAACACTCCACTATCTTTCCCAAGAGGTCATTGCAATTCGCAGATAATAATAAAAAAGAAGCCGTGGGGGAACCATGATCGCCTATGTCCTCAAAGGAAATGGTATATAATTTCTTACTACTATAAATGTTTTATTTTGTTTGTACACGTGTTTATAGATAACCCTATTTATTTATTTTTTTAGTCGTGAAATTAATATCTACTGGAATAGAGATCGAAAGTATTTTGAAAGAAAATGTGTCCCTCCCCACAACAGGAATAGAACACGTATTCCTTTTAAATTGGGGAGCCACCTTCAGGCCCGGTGTGCTTGTTACCATTAAGAAAGAAAGAAAGAAAGTCTCTATAAGAAATGTACATCTATCGTTGGAACCTTTCGAAATCTATATCTGTTATAATTGTTCGAAATGATGGATTCATTACCAAATCTTTTCAAGTTGTAGATAATCATGGCTGTCCACAAAAAAACAAAACCAAAAAAAAACTAACAAATAAAAAAAAACACACAAAAAAAACAAACAAAAAAACGAAAAAAAACCCCGAAAAAACGAAAAAAAAAAAACACACTCCAAAACCAAAAAAAAACACAACAAAAAGCGCCCCCCAACCCCAACAAGACAAAACAAACAGTCTCTCCCCAACCCCCAAATCAGAAATAAGACTAATTAATAATTTTGCATTGAAAATTTGTTTATTTTGAAATTCTCAGTTTTTTTTGGTCGGATCCAAACATATTTCAAATAATTTTCTTACCCTAATCAGAAGATCATGTGACATGGAATTTAAAGTTTCACTGCTCAACCCAAAGAGGATTAGGGGATGAGCAATGGAAATGCCGTTTTTTTTTTGTTTTTTTTACCATGTCTTGTGACACTTATTTTCACTGACATGTAATTATTTTGTGTTAGGTCCTGTACAATTCAGTCTCTATTAAATGCTGTTTGTGGAACCCGTGATATAATTGGGAGGATTTTTAGAAAAAAATTACAACAATGAATACATATATAGAAATATTGCAAAGTTTTGGGGAGGAAACAAGTCATATATATATATATATATATATATATATATATATATATATATATATATATATATATCTTTAGCAACGATTACATGTAAACCGCGGTTTCAAGGTTTTTCTTTAACGTTTCGACTTCACTTCAGTCATTTCTTTAACAAAATATTTCTGATGGTAGCAAAAGAGACGACTATTAAACGGTTAATTCTGTAATTTTTCTCCCAGAATTTGTCAGGTCACTCGATCTGTATTGTTAGTAGTCAAAATGTGCGGGTGGTGTAATGTATAGCGGCTCGGAATTACAAATCGGAGAGCAGTGTTCGAATTTTTTGTGTTCATTTCATTCGCTTACGCGGATAAGTATGAATCCATCTCTTCTCCTCCCAGCTATGGATTAGAGCCCAGTCTGACCCAGTAGGTCAAACTGGTTTCTTTAACCGTGGCTGGTAACCAGTATAGAAGAACAACTGAATTTAAAACCGGTTGGGCTTGGGGCTAGCTACTGCATTCTATATATATATATATATATATATATATATATATATATGTATAAGAAGTACTTGCTAAGGAAATCCCAGCAGTCCGCCGTACTGAGAGCTGTGGTTCCATTCTCTTTAGGGAATCTACGGGACGTGAGAGAGTGAGTGGTCAAGAATTAATGCAAGCTTTACTAACAGGCAGAAAAGCATTTATATATAAAACTTATGGCGATTTTATTTCAGGATGGAATCACCGTCAAATAAATGGTTGTCAGACATAATATATTAGAGATTAAGTAACAATGCATGAACGCATCTGCTTTAGTGGCAAAAAAAGTTAACTTAAGCAAAAGTGATGCAGGAAGCATATTGGCCTTTTCGTTCTAAGTGCTTGCCCGTTGAAATAAACAGGAAATCTCTACAAAGTGAGAAAGTACTTTTGCCCTATTAGATTAACTTTAGCTCCCCCCTGGTGGCAAAGACATTTGATTAAGTAAAGAATGGGAGGGGAATCTATAAAAAAAAATCTTCAAATCTGTGGTTTCTTTTATTCAGAAAATTCGTTCTTTACCTTTTTTTTATCTGATTTAGGTAATGAAAAACAAATACAAAACAACAACAAAACACGAAGCAAATACAAAACAACAACAAAACACGAAGCAAATACAAAAAAATCCACAAAACTAAAACGACTATAAAAATCACAAAAACATAGGCACAAAACAACAAAAATCAACACACACAAAACTGCAAAAAAAAACCCCAAAAAGACACACACACAATCACAAAAAAAAAATAACACACATACACAATCACAAAAAAATAACACACACAAAACTACCCCCCCCAAAAAAACGAAACAAAACAAATACAAAAATAAAAAACAAAACAAATAAACAAAACATCCTGCTTAAGGACAGTTTCAAATGGTTGTTCATTGAAGATTGAGGGTTTACCGTAATTCCATTCAAGTAAGCCAATCCGAATCCGCAAATCTGATTTCTTCTTTTGCAATAAAAGTGAAGTTGAAATGAAATCTATTGCATACGATATTCTATTCCAAAAAATATGAAACATTTCATTTAAAATAGGTATTAAAAGTTTCACAAACTGTCGGACAAACCTTCGCATTTAAATATTAGCGCACGTGTACTGCTAAAAAACGTTGTAAACTTTGTTCATTAAGTAAGAGATTGCATGAAAATAGCTGAAGGTACACTGACGAAGATGTGGTCGTAATTTGCCAGGAAAATCATTTAAGAGGTACATACATTTAGAAATAAAAGTGCTTTGTTTCAATTGAAATTTAACCAATAATTTATTTTTGAAAAGAATCTTCGTCGTTGTCAATGCATTTAAGACTAAACTTTTCCAATACTTACAGGGACTTAACATTATCTACTAAAAATTACAGACCCAATTGTTTCACACATATAAACAAACATATTCATTGATATAATATTCATTATATAAAATTGATAAATTGTTTATCGAAGGAGTCAGATTGAAGAAGCTCCTTCTAGAATTGAAACACATTACTTAACTCATTCGATTATATGAGATGAGAGAGAATTCGTAGCAGGGGAAAGACCGGGACTAATAACTAATGGAAACGCAAAGTTTACGGAGCTGCGGTTTTTCCTCTTATGTCGAAGATACGGAAGATGGGCAGTACATTTGATAGGGTACACGTTAGTAGAAGATGAGAAATTGGTTCAGTCAAATTTCTTAACCGAAAAGTTCAGTGGCTTTGCAAAGCAGGATGAATGTGCAGATAGTGTAGTGGTTAGCGTCTAGGAATGAGCAGAGTTCGAATACCATTCGATTTCGTTATATTCGCTTTCGCACAAATACTATTGGGGAAGTTATGAATACATCTTTTTTCCTCAGCACTGAGTTAGATAGCAGAGCAGGCCGAGCTCTTTTGCCGTGGTTGGCAGCCAATCTAGGAGGAGAGCAACTGAATTCAAATGTAGCTCTGGAGACACGTGTACTAGACAGTAATGGAATGGATTATGAAGGTGTGTATAATCTCAAGTGAGGCCGACCCTAGTACAAAACAGGGCGTTACTTGCTGGAGTGATGACTGAGTGGACAACAAGATTTGCATCGTACTGGAGAACAGTGTGGAGGCCAGAATGCAACCATATTTTAAGCGGCCGAGCTGCGCTTAATTGAATAATCAATGATCATGTGGAACATGGGTGAGCAACCAAACTCATATATATAAGGATATTAAAAACAAAAACATGTTAAAAATCGCTACACAATTACACAATCATGTTTCAACACTACAAATGTGTCTCCGTGGGAGATGTTAAACTACTGGCGACTCTATACTGAGTCCTCTTTTAAATTCATTGTTATACACAGTGGAATTATACTCCATTTTTTCTCATTGTATATATATATATATATATATATATATATATATACACACACATCCCTTTTCCAGGAACCAATAAACTGTCAAAATGACCAAGGGAATTCAGATCAGCATGAATCCATCCAGCTATTATCTTAAATAACAACTTAAAAGAGACTGTTTGACCAAAATTCATGTTAAAAAAATAAAAAAACAAATGAAAACTACAGTCAAAAGTTCATTTTCTCCATCAAGACATTCATTTCTGTGGTTCACTGCTACCAGCAACTAGAAATTTTTTCTCCTGATGATGGCCATGTTGGCCGAAACTAGTCGAGGAATCTAAATGAAATAATAATAAAAATGAAAGAATATTAATATACAACCCAGTGTGTCTGAAGATCTTTAATTTTTTAATATTTTTTATTGTTCAATATATATATATATATATATATATATATATTGAAATGTTTTGAACTTGTCAATGGTTCTGCTAGTATGCCGTCAACAAGTCATCGTGACCGGGGATTTGAGCGTACTGACCCTCTTGAAACTTGACCACGCCAGATTATGCGCTCTCCCCAAGAATCTGTAACTATGGTCTATTCAGCATAGTTACAGTATAAACCACAGGTGAACTCTGTGGCTGTTGAACAAACGTAAATGTACCAAAGGAGTCGTTAGCAGCAGGGACACACACACACACACAATGTATATATATATATATATATATATATATATATATATATATATATATATATTATAGCTTGATTATACCAACGGTTACTATATATATATATATATATATATATATAAAAACCCTATCAAAAATTCTCAGTAGAATCTCTGAATACTAACTGTATTAGAGATGGTATTGGTAAATGTACCTAACGGGTTTCCCGTGATGGTGTCATGTTACCCATTGTTTCTTCATTCAAAAGAGAAAAGAAAGAAAAAAATTATGCGCGTTTTTTATAACCTTGAAAAAAGAAAAACTGCCTGTCAGTCGCTCATAGTCGGTCAGGATAACACAGACATGCAACAACGCTTGTGCGTTGTGTCAGAGATGCCGGAAGTAGTTACAAAACAACGTGCCCAGCATTTGTGAGCCGTATCATTTACTTTATCCGCCAATTCTCTCCTCCACCCCCGACACCTAATTTTGTTATTTTTCCTCATATTATTTCTCGATTCCTTTCTTTCTCAAACCATCCATCGGTCTTTTTTCATTTCTTTTTAGGGATCTCACATTTTGGCTTTTCGTTGTATTATCTTTGTTGGAGCCTATTTTCTAGACTCACATTTATTAAATCATGTTGTCCTGTCTAAAACAGTATCTGCACTTGTCTGGTTCGAGCTATTCTAGAAAAACCATAGAAAACTTCTAATGTCAGAACAAATTTACTCTGCTTAGTTTTAGTCTAGCACATAGCTAGAGTAGGGATACACATCTAAGAACTGAAGTCACAACACCGGCTAATAGCCAGCCTGACAAGCTTGCTGACTATCGCTCCAGAGTAAGCGCCCAGTCTTACGTCAGAATAATTCCTGGTAGAGAAGGTCAATTTTATTCCAGTTTCAATGGCAAATATTTATTCTCAAATTAATGGCGTAAATATTTGATATGAAATTGACGAATCTGAAGGAGCCTACGCCACACTCACGAGCAATACCCGTGAACATTTCACGGTTTTCCTATATGGATTTTCTAATTAATCATAATTCTTAATTTAATGATTGAATTACAAGTTCCACGACTATAAAATATCAATGGAAATTCACTTATTGCATCGTTAGATATTCGAACTTTAACAAAATATTGCGATAACAATCATAAGTATGAAAGAAGAGACAAATGAAAAGATTCAAAATTGACAATTTCACTGACGCAGACGTTAAACGCATGAGAACGTTATCGGCTCCATTATCTTTTTCTTATTGTGTATGCTTTTTTTTTCTCACTAAACACAAACAACGTCTAAGGTATATATATATATATATATATATATATTTCCGTTATTGCGATAACTTATTTTTCAAGGATAGTTTTGGAAGGACAGACTTATGAAATTTTCTAAAATTTAGCAGATATTGGAAAGGTAAAAATGTTCAATAAAGTTAAATTTTAAAATATTATCAATAAATATACCGAACGAACTTTATGTAACTCGTAAAAGGTTGATAAGCCGCAAAAAAATCAATCTCTACATGCAAATGTAAAATTTATTATACGAAAAACTCGCAAAAACCAAATCGATTTAACACATACGGCTATTTTGCTTGTCTAAATTCGGTGTAGGATAAGCTAACAATTGATCTATTGTTCTTATTTACTGAATTTGGTTTTGGCGCCATGCCACAAGTATGGAGAACTCGCTTTTCAGTAGTAACGTACGTCCAACCAGATTAGATCACTAACGTTTACTCAACGCTGAGGTGTTTTCAACAACTAATCTAAAGTTATTAACTGTCCCGAGAAGAAAGACTTATTTAGTCTTGTGTAATCCCAAAACCAATCGGAATGTAGCATTGAAGGCGAAACAATAAGTAAAATAAACAATAAGTAAAAGGGCGGAATCCCAAAATATAAAACTTTATCAAATCTTCACTAATTTTCTCACCTAAAAAAGGTATTTAATTGATATCATTTTTATGTTAATATAAATTCTTCAAACATTCTTTTGTTTATCCATTAGATAATTTTTCTCTGATTTCAGATAACTTTTAACTAAAAGACACTCCAAAGAAAACAGGACATTTTTTATAATCGTTTTGACAGCACATGAAGCTAAGAAAATTCATTATACCTAGTTCTGTTCGGGCATTTGAACCACTTCATCGTACACTTGCTTTTGCTAATAAAGTATTTAGGCCGATGCATTCTTCAGCCCTTCTAACTTGTATTCCGTAAGAAAAAAACAATTTTTTCTTCAAGAATTGAAGAGAAACAATGGCGTTAAATGTTAAAAGTAGTAAGTATACAAAGAATAGGTTCAACTGTTTAAATAATTTTAGCATTGAATAAATTATATGTGCTGGCAATGTAACGGTTATCGGTGCAGAAATTGGAATCGTCGAGTGGAGTTCAAATTCCAACCTAGTCTATTGCGTTCACTTTTGCCCTAATATTATCAAAAAAGGTACGAATCTACATATTTTCTTCCCAGTGAAATAGTACTGCAAAATGAGCTCTAGTTTTGGGCAGCACCCAGTCTTATCAAAAGGACAAATTTGAATCCAAAACGCTGAAGAAAGCATTGGAAAAGCGCTCCACTATATTTTCCAAGAAAGTCATGGCTATTCATATATAATAAAGAAAAGGAACCTGTAGATAGCCTTGATAGCTGTAGGGACAGTTTTGAAAAGGACGCTTCTCAATATTATAGATAAAATGTTTCATATTTTTTAGACTAGTGATCTTTATCTAAAAAGGTAGGCATACCGAAAATACGTGGGCTTCTTTCGTTGTGAGTTCTCGCTTTATTCGATTGGTTGGAGATAATAAGAACGTAAGGAAAGCAGGTGTTTTCTCGGAAAAAAAGAAGAAAAAAGCAATGCATTTTATCTGATCGTTTTGGCACGTTTATCGTTTTATTTATTTTCATGGTTAGAAGCACGTAATTTTAAAGTATACTTAAAATCACGTATCCAAATTACGTGCTTTGCTGTCATTTGATCACGTGTAAACCTGTCTTAAAACATTGATGTGATCTTTGATCATATCAGCATAGATTCCTGCAATTAAGTCATGCTGTTGAATATATTACATTTCCTATGAGATTTTCCGCCCGCACCTATGCTTCCTTGCAAGCTTTACCCGCTTTGAAAATTAACGATACATTTATAGAAGCGAATTAATTATCGTGAAACAAATTAAAATGCGATTTTATCCGTAATGTAAAGATCTGTAATACAATAGGATTTAAAAAAAATATCTTTAGCATTTGGTCAAATTTCAGCAATGTCGAACACAATATATCCAAGTGTTGATCTCATTCCAATACTTGTGACGTCTACTGTCATTCGTGATTAATTTTATAATTTGTAAACATCACATCTTCAGTACGGGAAAGTTAGTGGCGAAATAGCGGCTCATTCGTTTTTGCCCGGATTCACATGAGTCCGCCAAATTTTGTTTGCGGGACAAATGTACCAGGAGTCATTAAATATTTACTAAAAAAAAAACATCCTCAATTCATAAAAGATATCCGCAACAGTAGCATTCTCACACAAAAATAGAGAAAACTTTAAACAATATATGAATAAAACTGGATGAGAATCCGACGGAATGATATATAGAGAACACAATTTGTTTAAACATTTTTTCGATAACGCCAGTTCATTGATGAAACCTGTCATAGTAGAAGAATAGAGCCTATTTAAAATTAAAACCTCAGCATAGAAGTTATGTGCTTTCGAACAGGTTAAGAGCCAGAAAAGAGAAAACTCACCTTATACATAATGACAACCCTTTCAGCCTTGTACCAAGTGTTGTATGCTGCAGAATTGGATTTAAGGTTATCGCTTCCTGAAAGAATTAGAAAAACAGATATAAGAACATTTCAAAGAACAGGGATTGTCGAATCAAGTAGAAAGTAAAGCATATGTTTGCCATAATGAGTTCACCACTCGAAATTATAACAATAAAACAGCTGTGATTTAAACAGGTTTCCTTCCTTCATGACTAACAAACACTTAAGTTTCAAATATAAAAGTTCAAAGCCAGGAAACATTCCGTATGAACAATATTTGTGTATTTTAATAGAGTTTGAAGGTGTTGAAAATATTACATCTCTTGCTGCTACGAGTGACCTCCCCTTATCGAAAACCCAAGTAATATATTAACTTTTACATGTTGGTATTCCAAGTCGGGATGCTAATAGTAATATCAGACGATTGCATATGAGGGAAAATTTGGGCATTCATTGACCGAGTAGACAGTACGACTTTCGGTTAAAATTTATAAGATATTTATCTTAAAACCTCCTTTCAGGAAAATAAGTTCCTCAAGTCCAGTTACTGTTATTACTTTTTCCAGTATTGATGGGGGATTTCTTTCCTAGCATCTTTATGGTTTCAGATCATACACAGAACACAGACTTAAATGTATCTTATTTAATTCCAATATTTATGTATAATTTGATTGAATAAAGAGCAGATTGATTTTCTTTCGATAAAGTTAGTTTATTTAAGATCTCATAACCCATTAGAATCATAGGGGCACCACATGTAATGTAGAAGCAGTGATGTGACATAGGCAAGATAACCTGATGGTGCCCAACCCTCCACAGGTTAGTTTGCATTCAGAACTTTCCTTCTCTTAGACTAATTAACAACCAAGGCTATAGGCCGATGATTGTTTTTCTATTTATTCATAGTTGGCGGGAGAGAATAAATGGGTTCATATCTTTCCCAAGGGTATCTGCGCTTAAGTGAATGCAACGGGTCAAAATAATTTCAGAAACATTTAAAAATTAAAAAAATCTGTCCTCCTATATGGCAGTAAATGCAGGACACTCGCATTCCAGATAAAAAAAAGAGACTAGATAACAGAAATGTGGTTCTGTAGAAGGATGCTGAGAATACCATAGACTGAACTTGTAAGAAATGGCGAAGTTTTAGAGAAAATGGAAGCAAAAATAACACATATTTAGAATCAAAATGGGGCAATTAAAATTTATAGGGCACATTGAGGAAAGAGGACTTAGAAAATTTGACACTCACAGAACATATTGAAGGCAACAGAGACAGAGTAAAGAAGCATATACCCAACAAACCTGTTTAAGTATTCGGCAGAACAGAGATTAGGAGAGATAGAAAAAAGACAAAGTTTATTAGATGGGCACGATACACAGAAAAAGAATGTAAAGAACTCGATTGAAATTCGAACTCGATACTTTGATTTTTCATTTCGAATCGCTAACCATGAGACAACAGCGAATCCATATTTTTATCTGTTTATTTACAGAATGGAACGTAATATACCAGAAGGAGATTACGATTAAATGTTGATAATAATGAGTGTATCTTAGATGATCAAAACAGGAAAATGTCTGATTTTGTGCGTCAGCCTAGTCGCGATCTAAAAATCAAAGCGCCTGACAAATATCGCAATAGAACAAAAACTTTATGGATGTGGGTGGGGGAAGAAAGACATACAGTGGGATAGTCCAATCTTCCCAGAATCGAACTCCTTATAGAAACATGTGTACTGCTGCAAAATCTGGTCATTTTGGAGAAAAGTACTTACAAATAAAACACGTCAAAACATTCGTAAAGAAAATAATGTAAGCAGGTTTAGTGAAGTAAGTGTGCCGTGACCATTCAGGACATAGCCGATCATGGCTCTACAAAAATTCCTATCCGTTATGGTCCTTTTTTTTATCCCTTTACTAAAGTTCCCTCCATTCGGCCATTCTTTAACACAAGATCGTCAGGTGAATGACTCACTACCTGCTCTATTTTCCATATTGCCCTTAATATGCTCCATGAGGGTTAAGTTTTTCGATGCCTCCTTCCTGTATCCAAGGAATTTCAGCTGTTGTTTTTTCTTGATTCTTGGTATAAGTGTTCGTTCTGTGGCCATTTTCTTTAGGAATTTCTTATTGCTCACTCGTTCCGTCCATAGAATTTTCAGTATCTTTCTGTAGAACTACATTTTTGCTGCCTCCAGTTTTTTCACCCAGAGAGAGATTGTCCAGCAATTACTGTCATGTAAGAGGATTGATAACAAAACTTTTCAATTTCTCAGTACTTTGCTTAGCTCTTGGAATGCTTCTTTTGCTTGTTCAACGCGTGTTCGGATCTCGGAGTCCCATTTTCTATCCTCTATTAAAACACTTCCCAGACACTTAAACTTCTGCACCTAAACTTGACGAAATATTCTTTAAGAAAATGATGTAGGATTTATCGGATTCTTTATATAAGTATTAAATATTAACAAAATTCCCCTAAAATTGCTTAAAATCAGCTAAGCCACTGTATCATAAATAAAATCAAATACAGACTATTTACTTTTTAACTCTCGGAACCATATATCTTTGGTTGAACAGACAGTAGTAATAAACTTCTATTGTAACTTAACTAAATGATAGAAAGAAAAATTTGTTTTACAGTGCTGTTTGTATTATGACCAAATTCCCCATTAGATTCATTGATAGGCCTACTCTGTGACAATTGGTTTACGATGTCACGCCAGACTCTACCTTACACATTTATAAATCTACCATTCACTCGTGCATTGAATATTGCTGCCATATCTGGTCTGGCTTTTCCATTATGTTATACTCCGTCACAATTAGATCGCTTTCTGATTCATTCTGCATGCTGGCCGGATGTTAACGCCACGAAGGCAGAAAACGAAATAACGAAAGTCTTTTTCTGCACATTAGGCTCCACGGATCACGGAAAAAAAAGAGATGCCCCTGGAGACTACCAGACCCGCTTAAAACCCGACGAGCCACCAGCCGTCACACGGGATGCTGCTGCTGCTGCCGCCATGATTATCACCACCGCCTCTCAACATGACCGCTCCTCTCAACGACTGTTACCACTCGCAGGCTTGACTAACCATCTCGGCTATCCACCTTCATCTTGATAACCTATTGACCTCGTCACCTCGACAAATACCAGCCACGTGCGGCCAACTATCCAGCTTCGACAAATACCAGCTACAAGCTGACGTTGTCACCCCGGCAAATACCAACCACGCCAATCCGAGAAGATTTCAGCGTCTGGGCAAACCGCCGCAGTCACCTCGGCCTACTCGGCTCGTTCAGAAGGCATTCCATTCCCTTCGCACTAGCCACCACGGTCCCATTCCACAGAACAGGTCTACAAAACTACGCCAATCCGACGTCACCTCGGCATTTCCAGTCGCCTCTTTCCATAGGACAGGCCTATCAACCAACCAACGAAAACAACCTAGCACCGTAACTTCGATCAAACAAACGTGCACCGACGATATCCTGTGACCTCACACCAAACCCATACAAGAATTAGGTCAACTCCCGGAACTACTCTTACACCCGACCGCCATTCAGAAGACCGGCCACTGAAACGGACATTCTGCATATCTTTCAACGTCTCTGTACTAAAATAAACATTGTTCAAAATTTAATTCTCGTCATTCCTTTCTTTCGTTATCAAACACTCAATATAACATGTATATCTCGAGATTCTTTACAAAATCCAGGCTAGGCTCTAATGTAAATCGATCCTGGCTTGGTTTCTCGATTTCGGTCACTTTCTCATTGTCGTAACGTAGCTTTACCTCTGTTTTTTCATGGCAATTGTTCTGATTGAACTTTTCTCATTGGTGTCTCGTCTGCAAGAATTAAAGCGTACTATTGGTTTGTCAAGTATATTTTGGTGTTTTACTGTTGAACTAGCAAGACGCAATCGTATGTTATATTCTAATACAGTGTAACCCGGATATAAGAGAGGTCGGGACCGGTGAAGAAGTCTCTTATATCCGGGTTTCTCTTATATCCGGGTTTGGTTTATTTTGTTTAGGTAAGTATGGGCTCTAATTTGGGACCAGAGAAAATCTCTCTTATATCCGGGTTACACTGTAGTTTCTTTTCTTACACTTCTCGCCAGTTTCTTGATTTTACTGCCCCCGTTTTCAAAAATATAAATACAACGCTAAATGCTATTTTTGTTTTTCTGAAACATGTTCTTTTATTGTCCTTTCTCATCAAGAATGTCTTCTCATTCGCTTTCACTCTCCGTATCCTGTCGAGTCTTAGTGGCTTTATCACCTTGTTTTGGGTGAAATGATTTAAAAAAAAATTATAAACATAAAATACGGTTATTAGTCGAATATTTATACGTTCTGCTAGATTATGTAAATATTCCCTGAGATATTTTTATTACAGGTACTAAAGAGGCAGAAAATAGAATGTGTTTCGGTGTGGAGTATATACTGCTGTTCTTAATACTGGGCTCCGCACAAAAATAACTTCTCCATTCCTGATTTAGACACCAATAGGTATCATAGATCTTACTCGGAGGCGAATAAATTGATAGCATCTAATCAGATTAGAATTTAACCCCCTGAGAAGGGGGTTTAAATTCAAAAGCGGTTTTTTTGCTTTTGTAAACCTCGCCCGCTATCGTTAGAAGTCAGTGAAAGAAGGGTCACAAGCTCTGTTGATTTGTTTTTATTATCTCTTCGCCATCAGGCAACATCGGAATCAACGAAAAAAAAAAAAAAGGCATTTTATTACCTGCATAAGTCGGTACTGAAAACCAAAGAAATGCCACAAGCGGCGTGGGGTGTGATTCATCTAAACCTCTACACTGCATGACTTCCAATCTTTCTTCAAAACAAATTATGTATGTCGCATATGAGAGACAAGGACGCGGAAGTCGACAGACGACACGAGTGTTTAACAGTAAATTATGCGTGTCGGTGTGAAAAATATGCTGAGAGAGAAATTTATATATATTTATTACACACAGTTCAGACATTGTATCGCCTTAGAGGAGCGGTTTAACTTATGCGTTTGTGCAGAAGTCAACATA